TCCATGGGAGCTGGGAGTACCAAGGAGGGTGCCCCAAGACACAGATGGAGTCTGACAACAGTCCTGGCAGGAGAGATCAGTCTGTCCACAAAGAGACCTCAGTCGCTGCTGTGTTCAGAGGCCCAGACTCTGAAGATGGAATCACCAAGAACAGAGGAGACCCCTTCCAGCAGTGGACGGGAATTCCAGGCTGGGAACATAGAGAGAGAAACCAAGGCCAAGGCAAAGTGAAAGGATAGCTCCCGCTTTCCCTCCAGCTCCCTCCTTCCCACACTCAAGATGTTAGAATTATTAATCTTTCCTTCTTTTGACAAGAAAGACCCCTGAGACTGCAGAGATTTTCTCTAAGCTTAGGAATAAATTGTATTTTACTTAACAAAAGCCCTTCTTAGATCTCGGTGAGAAGACAATGGAGTTGAACTGATCATTGCGCTGCAGCCTGGGTGGCAGAATGAGACTTGTCGAAAGAAGGGGGGGGGGAGAGAGAGAGAGAGAGAGAGAGAGAAAGAAAGAAAGAAGGAAAGAAAAAGAAAGAAAGAAAGAAAGAAGAAGGAAGGAAGGAAGGAGAAAGAGAAAGGGAAAGAGAAAATAAAGAAAACAAAGGTTGGATGATACACAGCAATAGCTACTTCTAGCTCTTGGGCAATTTGCTTAAACTTTGTAAGCCTTGGTTTCTGTGTCTGTAAAATGAGGATGATAATAATGGCTAACTCATAGCAGTGTAATGAGGATTACAGAAACTAACATATGTGAAGGACTTAGAACAGTGCCTGCCCCATGCAAGCAGCCACCATTTTTGAACACTTATCACATGTGCTGTGATAAATATTTTCTGCAGATGTTCTCATTGTCATCACCAAAGTCCTATGAAGCCAATATTATTGTTATTCACATTTTACAGGAAAAAGTGAGGTTCTGAGAAATTGAGTAATGTGCTGCTGTTTACTCAGCTGACAAGCAGCAGACGTGGAACTGAATCCAGCTGCTGACTTCCGAGCCTGCTGACTCTACGGTTAGGATATACCATGCAGCCTGTGAGGCTGCCCCTTGGAACCATGACATGAACTGAGCTAAGGCAATTCTACTCCCCAGCATGAAACTGCCCCTTAAGTGGGATCCCATTACAAATACAAGATTAATCCACACACTATCACTTTTCTGAAAGACTAAATCATTCAGGTTACAGATCAAAGCTTGAAAATCACCAACATTGGCCGGGCGCGGTGGCTCACGCCTATAATCTGAGCACTTTGGGAGGCCAAGGCCGTGGATTGCCAGAGCTCAGGAGTTCAAGACCAGCCTGGGCAACATGGTGAAACCCTGTCTCTACTAAAATACAAAATAAATTAGCTGAGCATGGTGGTGCCTGCCTGTATTCTCAGCTACTCGGGAGGCCCAGGAAGGAGAATTGCTTGAACCTGGGAGGCGGAGGTTGCAGTGAACTGAGATAGCTCCAGAGCACTACAGCCTGGGTGACAGAACAAGACTCCATCTCAGAAAGAGAGAAGGAAGGAAGGAAGGAAAGACAGAAAGAAGAAAATCACCAACATTGTAAATCAAGAAACATCTTTCTAAAGGATGTGGTCTCCAGCTCCATTGTCCAGCACTTAACCGGTGTGTTTCTCTTACCCTTAGGAGCACGCCTCAGTTATTTAAATTTCAAATCTTTCTTTTCTTCCTTAAAGCAATTTGAATAACTGGAACAATTTAAAGGACTCGTGACAGCAAATTACTCTGCATCAGCACGGTAATAGGTCCTGACACCTTTTTTCTCTCTACCTTCCAGCTTCCGTTTTTAAAGATAATTTCATCTCTATAAACTAAAGAAATCTTGGCTTAACTCCTGTATTTGCTGGGCTGCTTTAGTAGTGATATTAATAATTCTCATTTCTATTAAAATTTCACATTTATTAAAGTGCATTCATAAATGAAACTGTAGTGAAACCAATTAAAGCCATTGGATGTATAATTCCAAAGGAAGAAGCCACTTTAAAAGCTTGCATTGCCTGCCATGGCCACAGTGAGGCAGTAGAGGGTGAAAGACGAGCGGCCTTGCACAGTCACAGGGCACGTATTTGAAAACAGCGTTGGCTGACCTGGGTTTGCAGGAATCCCACGGTCCCTGTAAAACACTGGCTTACTTAATGCCTCCAGCCTTCCATTTCATTAGCTGAAATTCTGGAACGCTCTAAACGTCAGACGAAATATGGTATTGAAGCAGCTATACTAAAAAAAAAAAAAAAAAAAAAAAAAAAAAAAAAAAAAAAAGTAGATTTAGAATCCTGAGTTCAAATTCTGATCCTGCCATTTCTAAAAGTCTAAAGACTTTTTGACTTGACTAATGCCTACTGTATACAAGGCACTGTGCTAAGTACTGGAAATCAGATAGAGACTCCATCTCAAAATTATAGTATACCATCCTGGTCAACAAGGTGAAACCCCGTCTCTACTAAAAATACAAACATTGGCTGGGCATGGTGGTGCGCGCCTGTAATCCCAGCTACTTGGGAGGCTGAGGCAGGAGAATTGCCTGAACCCAGAAGGTGGAGGTTGCCGTGAGCCGAGATTGTGCCATTGCACTCCAGTCTGGGTAACAACAGCGAAACTCCGTCTCAAAATAAATAAATAAATAAAATTTAAAAATACTGTGAAATGTCTTAGGTGTTTTTTTTTAATGAAATGGAATAAAATATTTTAACCTTCATAAAGGTTTAATATATATTTTTTGTACCCGTGTAATGGTTTTATACATTTTTGTTAGGTTGATTTGTTAAACTATGTATTTATTACATCAATCTTGCTCTGTCAGAACGGCCAGGATTTCAACCCAATGTTCCGACTCCACAGCTTTGCTGTGCCCTGTTCTGCCCCCTCTCACCAAGGTGAATAATATGACCCTGACCCTGAAGAGTTTGGTGTAATGGGACAGCAAGAGTGGTGAAGAGAGAAGTTACGGAGAAAGTCCACACGTGCTACAATGAAAGTAAGGACAGTGTGTTTTAGAATCATGCAAGTTGGGAGCGGTTAACTCTGTACGGGGATATCTGGGAAGGCTTCATGGAGGAGAAGACGTTTTTGCTGAATTTTGAATGTTGACATTCTCCTCCTCACTGCTCAACCCCCAATATTTTCTAAAAAACGAGGAGGAAGAGGTGTTCTAAGCAGACAGAACAGCATGTGCAGCCACACAAAAAATGAGAAGGAAAGAGCTTGACAGTGAAGGCCGTCCAGGCAGGAGATGCGGCTGGAGAGGGACTTGGGTCAGGTCAGAGAGCCCCTTGTGCGTCATGATTAAAGCTGGACTTTATCTTAGAGTCAAAGTGAACCACTGAAGGGTTTTAATATAGCCACGGAGAGCTCAGATCTGTGCATTAGAGCTGAAGACTGGCACAGCTTGGAAAATGAATCAGCACAGGGAGAGGCTGGGGCAGGGAGACCCGCCGCGAAATTGTGGTATCCCAGATTGAAGAGGGTGAGAGAGTCCTCTAAGGAAGTCTCCTGAGCCTGTGGAGAAGCTGGACCCACCCATTTGGGTCCGTGGGATTTTGATGCACTCGATACGTGCATGTTAAAGACATGGAAATGGAAGGAAAGTGGTGGGAAAGGGCAAGTGTTAGTACCTCCCTGTCTCCCTGGGTCCTCTGCTCCATCCTCCCATCCGTCATATTCCTCCACCCATCATCTTTCACAGACTGGACTCCCCCATGGTATAACTGAGTTCAGGCACCTGCTCTGCCACTCACTGGCCAGCTGCCCCCAGCATGTCCTTCCCTCTCAGAGCTTGTTTCCTCATCTGGATGATAGAGTTCAGATCCACTCCACAGAGCTGCTGTAAGGACTAACAGAGGGCAGGGCCTGCCCCGGTGTCCACAGAATCACTCCTTAGATCTGTGCTTAAGATGTGATTAGATGGTGTGTTCTACCCCACGTTCCTGAAGTCCCATCGCTTTACTCAGACTACCAACATGGGAGAAATAAAGGTCCATGTCAGGTCTAGATCTGTATAGAAACAGGTCATTCAAGAGGGAAGGGAAAAAATTTAAGTAGTAGTAATGAGACAAAAATGAGAGAGACTCATAGGATGGAAAAGGAGAGCACGCAGCCAATTGGCAGAGGAAGAACAGATTTCGATGCTTGCACACCTGCCCCCAGGGTCTCACTCTGTCCCCCAGGCTGGAGTGCAGTAGAGTGATCTCAGCTCACTGCAGCCTTGACCTCCCCAGCTCAAGCCATCTTCCTACCTCAGCCTCCCAAGTAGCTGGAACAACAGGCATGTGCCACCTCGTCTGCTAATGTTTGACTTTGCTGGTCTTGAACTCCTGGGCTTAAGTGATCCACCTTCACAGCCTCCCTCCCTCAGTGCTCACAGGCAGGAGCCATCACGCCTGTCTCCCTATCCCCAAATTCTTTCGTGCACAGCTCAACCCTTATTCCCTAGGCCCACGGAATGGAGCAGCCTCATGTATAGAGTGGCTTCAATGTGCCTCATCTCAGATACTTCGATGAAATTATACAAGAATAATAATTTCTTGAACATAAATTGTGAAATATTTGTCATTGGATGTAATAACAAATTACTTTTAAAAGTAAAAATGCTACAAAAGTGACCCCGATGGTGCCCTGCTACTTGACCAAGGGGCACTGACCCCTGCACTGTTATAGGCAGAATTGGGAATGGCTCCTGCTGAGTCCCAGTCAGGTGGGCAAAAGATATGGGCTCTGAAATGACAGTGGGCTGAGCCTGGTCCAATCCACACAACAGCCCAACACAAGCTGGGCTGTCATGAGCTTAAAGAGTCACTGAACATAATAGCCCTCATTAGGACCTATCCCCTTCTCTTGACTCTGGCAGGTCCCAGGTGAACACTGAGCCCTCCCACTGCTTCTGCCTGTTCTGTGGAATTCCCAAAGCCAGCTCCTCTCCAGAGCTCTCCCCGGCACTTCCCCTCTTCCCGGCACTTCCCCTCTTCCCGTCCCACACAGCACTTGGAGACAGGATGTCATATTTGACTTTTGTTTTTATTTTATAAGAATATAACATGCTGAAACAGGAAAGTGGGGATTGCAAACATCATTCATATCTAGGAAACCAGCTCCATTTGTCACAATAAATAAATATTTAAACACTGAGGAGTTCCTGACAGGCTCCAAGAGGTTCCCAGCACATTCAGAGGTAGAGTCTGGTGGAGAGAGGGAGACAGTCAGGCTGCAGCCCCTGCTGAGATTCTCCAGTAGAGGCAAACTGAAATTACAATAATAAATAACAGCACCAAAATAACAAAAACAACACGCTACGACAATCGCACAAAACCAGCGATACAATACACTTAAGTAATCTCCTGGAGGAGCTAGGGTGCAGAGAGAAGAGCGTTGATTATCCTGGGCCACAAGGGGGCTGCCCTGGGTAATTCACCTCCCCAGCCTGGGCTCTGCTGCAGGATTCCCATCACGAAATGTGTATTCGGTGATGCCCTGAGGTGACAAGCAGGTTCTGACTTCCCACAGTCCCGCGGTTCCAAGCAGCCTCTCCCCGCAGCTTCTGCGCTCTGTCCGAGGGCGCCATGGTCCTGTGCCACCTCTGCCTACTTCAATGGTGCATGTCACGTCGGCAGGAAAGAAACACGAGGCTCCCTTCAATCTCAGGGCATCTGCTTTTGCCTGTTCTCATACCCACAAAACACACTGGCTCGATTTCAGCAGGACTCTCAGGGACTGCCAAGAGATTTGTCTCCTAAGATCCTTTTCTGTCTCGTTCCATGCTGCGAGGCATGAGAGCTGAAAAGCCACTCCCTGAGGCCTCCACACTGTCTTCGCCTGGGCCCTGCCTCCAAGGGCAGCCCAGGGCTCAGAGAGGGCATCCAGCAAGAGGCCCCCGGCACGGGCCTGCTCACAGCTGGCCCCTGCTGCAACACAGGGTCAGGGCCACCTGCAGGGGGCCACCCAGAGCACCGGGACAGATTCAAGGGAGCCTCCTTTCAGGGCTCTCCACTGACTTGGAAAGGGCTCACGGGCCAGTGTTTGAGGTATAAACAACTCATAAGCGTGCTGGCCCTGATGTAACTGCAAGGCCGGACTGACACGCAGGAGTGTTAGGAGGGACACTTCCTTCTCCGGTGAGAACAAGAGCCGGTGCTAACCCCTGCACCACCTTTTCCCGCAGAGATCCCCACCAGCCCTCATCATTAGCCCTTATTCACAGGTCCTGGAGGTGGCAGCCCCTCTCTGGCATGGGTCCCACAGTATCTGAAGGAGAGGCTGCTGTTTTCCAAACAGGCTGCTGGAGTGCTTTTTTTTTTTTTTGTCCTCTTGCACTTGCTTTGCAGAACCTGCCTCCCACACAGGGGCAGCCACCTCAGGGATGGGTGACTCAACCTCTCTTCCCGGCTGGCTTCCTCACTGCCATGGAGACTCAGGTGTGTGAGGGCTCGGCCAGGCTGCAGCTAGACGGAGGGGCAGAGGCGGCTGAGGCTTGGGCAGCCAGGTCCCGGTAAGCAGGTGACTTCAGGAAGCGTGGATAGGAGTCCTTCTCCATCAGGGTATGTGTCTTCCCCTGAGCCGTGTCGAAGCACGTGGCCGTGGCAGCCTGCAGGTTCATCCTCGTTAGCTCGCGGGTCTCATGGTCAATGTTGACCTGCAGGAAGGAGTCATGCACAGATGAGTTGGGGAGGAGGGTGGGCAATGCTGAGGGAGGACAGCGGCGGGCCAGGCATCGGAAAGAGCATCAGATACTGTATCAGGAAGCAGGGGCTCCTGAGCTGATCACTAACTAGCTTTTCAGCTCTGGGCATGTCCCCACATCTAACCCAGTGTCTGTCCTCCAGTCGCTCCGAACTAACAGAATGAACATGAGGCTCTATTGGGAATGTATACAAATGCAACCCCCTTCACCCTTTCTTCTAAAGCAACCCGACTTCAAGTCACTCTCAGCTCTCCTGGGATTTGCACTGGGGCCTCCTACCTGGTCCCTCTGCTACCTCGCCCCCCCCCACCCACCCCCACCCCCATGGTCCGTTCTCTGCTCAGCAGCTACAGTGAGCCTTTTAAAACCCAGCTCACTTTAGAGACACCTCTGTTGTCTCCTCCTGTCTTTCAGAGGAAGTGCCAAAGAGCTTTCTGGGCCCACTGGGCTCCCAGAGGCCACACTGGCCACCTGCCTCCCGTCTGACATCATCTCCTGCTCCTGCCTGCTCTGTAGAGGCCTGCTTCCTCATCTGTGACTGCATTTGCTGCTTCCTGTGTTAGAATGATCTTCCCTCCCTGAATTCTTCTATGTCTCTGTTGTCACCATGTCAAACAGCCCCCTCCTGACTTCCCTTTGCAGAATGGAAAACCTTACTCCTCCCAGGCCCTACCTCTGGGACTCCCTGCCTCTCATTTCCTGTTGTGTTTTTATGAGTGCAAAGCTCATCCCCTGGCGTATATTTGTCTAGTTCGTTATTGGCATCTTCCCCCATTCAAATATAATTCCACTAGGTAAGGAACTTTGTTTAGTTAACTGTGACATAGACAGCGACTGTAAGTGTCTTGAATATAACTGGGGCTTAAAATACCTTTACCGAATTATGTGGAAGCGATCAGTGGTCAGAAAACAAAAACAAGGTACAAAAGTAAGGCATTACTCTGATCTCTCCACCAGGTGGCGCTGTGTTCTTTATCGAATGCAGCCACCGTGCGTAGTGGCCAGGAGGGAAGTAGACTTAGAAAAAAATCACAGACCACAGACCTGCAAGCCTCAGGCAGGTCAGCCTGGGGACTGAGCCAGGTTATGTAAGGTCCTCGTGCTAACCTTCTCTCTCCAGTTGGTGAGTGTTTTGAGCCTTTAAAAATGGACGGGTTTATAAAGGTGGGTATGGACTGAAGCCAAAAATCCTGCCAACCCATCTTGCCCCATCATGAGTCACAGGGTGAAGACCCAGGAGTGGCATTGAGTCTGGCTTTCCTAGTCTCTGGCCACAGAAGCCCACTCACCCCTGTGTCAAGTAAGGCCCTTCTATTTCTACACCTTCCTCCCCACTAGCCCAGACTCTCAGAGGGGAAGGAGCAGGCAGGGTGGTGCAGATTCATATGCATGGCGGGGCTCTAACCTCTTTAGGGGCCTCGCTGCATATGAACTCCTCGAAGATCCGGTGTGCCCTGGAGGCCAGTTTGGTAGCTGATCGGATCTTCTTGAACTCCTCACAGGCTAGCCAGAACTCCAGGTTCTCTTCGCTGAACTCGGTCTTCAGGAAAGCGTGGAAAGCAGCCACTCCATCTGGGTTGTGGGAGAAAGGAGGAAACAGGTCAGACAAGGGACAGAAGGCAACTAAAGAAAGGACAGCAATTTCACTTAATGGCCCTATTTTTAAACATAATTTTCTTGAACAAAGGACCTGCCTTTGTACGTTGAATAGAGGCTGGCACACTAGGGGTCATTATTATTATTATTACTACTACTATTATTCCGCCCAAGCTTTCAGCAGTCCTGGGCCTGGCTCCAAAGCACGTGAGTACCCACGTGCCACCCACAGACAGACACAAAAGGCTCCTACTCACTTTTACTGCTCAGCAACAGGTCGAACGACTCTCTCCACCCCAGCACATCTTCTGAGAAGTTTCTACTAAAAGAAAAAGGAAAAAAAAGAAAGTAAGAAAAAAAATCAACAAAGTAAAGCATAGCACAAATTCTAGCCAGAACTCTGATGGAAAGTTGAGTAAAATTCACACAAAGACTTGCTTGGTGATTGTTGAAGCTGACACCTCAAACTCTTAGTTGGACTTAGGGTAAGCACTGTGTTTTCTAGAGAGCAATTCAGCAACCAGAAATCAAAGTTAGGGACTCCTTAGTCCTCAGTCAATATCTCTAAGGCTGTCTCTTCTCTGCCCAAAGTTATTTCGATTCCCCTGACTCTCAAAGATTTGTTTTGTATACCTCCCCAAGGAAACTGGGGCTCATAGAGATGACATCTACACATAACTCCAGAGTTTGGTACTGTTGATAGCCAGTATGAAAGGGTTTCTAGGCAAGGCGCATGCTAGAGTCATTAATAAAAACTTCAAGCAGTCTTGGACACCGTCCTAGCCCCGGACGTATGTGCAATGAACGCCCAGGTGGGAGAGTCTGGTAACTAGACATTCATGCCCTGTGTGCCCTCATCTGTGGATGGACTTGGAGCCCTGGAGCCACCTACCCACTCACCCATGAGCCAAGTAGTCATAACAGACCAGCGACAAGTCCCGCTAAAATCTCTAGAGAGGGGATGCCGAGGTCCACTTAGCATGTCCTGGCTTCTCCTTGCATTTCCCTCCTCGTGACAACTTCCCTCCTCCTTTTCCCCGCTCCCTTCCCACTAGGAACCCTGGGCTGGTCAGCAACACTTACTTCTCTTTGCCGTGTTTACTGCTCCACTCGAATTTGCCAATACTCCCAGTATTGGAGCCCAGATCTGATTTGTGAAGAAAGATCCCCAGACGTGTCTTGAACTCTTTGGCTCTGGAAAACAAATCACAAACGTGAAAGGGTTCTCATTTGCTCAGCCAGTGTGGAGAGGTTTGTGGATCCCAGAAGAGTTCTGGGCGGCCCCACTGAAACTTTAGCCTCAAGAGTTCCTGGGAACTGTTGGTTGTTCCCAGGGCCCAAATGTGCTTCTCTTCACAGCATCATCAACCCCAAAACGACGACAGCACCGTCTGAGCTATGCGGTGGTGGGTCTTACACTTTCTGGGTAATACACACACTGCATATATGGGCTTTATCCTAAAGTCACACTGATCTCTCTCTCTTCATGCCTGTTGATTCAGAAGAGAACTCAGCATTCTTTTCAGAAGTATTTCTGAACTGTGTGGAAACTGATTCCTGCCTTCATCTTTACTTTTTCCTTGCCAGCCAGTAACAATTGGAAGCTGTTGAGTAGCTCTCTGAAACATGGACACACCCTCAACAGTGGGACCCCCCCCCCACAAAAAAAAATCTCCCTGCCTGCTAGGGGCAAAGGGGGCCATGCCCCTAGCTCTGGGCTGAGGAATGAAAACCAAGTGCTTAAGAAATGGGCAGGCTCCATTCTGCCTGGAAATGTCAACGTGGCCTTCCTGCAGCCGGCTCTTCAGCAGGTCACCTGAGCACGACTGCAGTTTGTCAGAGGATGGGGATGGCAGCAAGCAGCAGGCCCTCGCTTCCCTTCCCCCTGCTTTCTCTCTGCTCCTGGAATCTGAGCACGTGGCATCAAGTTCGCCTCTACCTCTCAAGTCTCTAGCGCCCCATACCCGCGCCCACCTAGGTCCCCAGACCTGCCGCTCCACTCCCTAGAAGTTGGTGGGACTTCCAACAAGCATTTGGACAAGCTCCCCTTACCTCTCCAGGCAGGTGTTGGGGAAGGCGGCCAGGGTGCGGCACATGGCTGCGGGCGCAAGGCAGCACGTAGTGGGCAGGATGGTGGCGGGCTCCAGGAGGGTCCTCGAGCGCGAGAAAGCAAAGGCGCAGTAGCAGGTGCTAGTGTGCTGGGGTTGGGGTTAGCAGCCTGCATGCGCCCAGGCTGCGCTGCCGCTGCGTTTATCCCTTCGGAGGGGCGGGGCGGGGCGGGGCGCTCTGACCAATCGGAGGGCGGGGCGGGGCGCCGAGACGGCGGAGGCTGGGCCAGCAGCCAGACCGTGCCGGACTCAGCTTCGCTGCATCTTGGAGCACGCGGCGCTGCACCCTGCGCCCGCAGGGCGCCGCGTGGAGAAGGAGAAGCGGCAAGAGGATTGGCACGGGGATGAGACGTGCGCACCCAGTTTCCTAGGGAAAAAAACCCGCCGACCTGTAGTAACAGCAGGAAACTCACGCAGCGGTGTCGTGTTGGGAGGGTTTGCATGGGGGTGGTGGGTCCGGGAGGCACGCGGGGCTTTGATCCCAGGCAAGTCTGAGCCTGCTGGGTCCTGAAGGACGGCGCACAGGGTGCACGCTGGGGCAAAACAGCATCCGATTATACCGATAAGTACCATTTACGGGGCTCTTACCCCGATCGATGGACACGGACCTAAGTAAGCTCTTCTTCATCATCATCTCCATTTTATAGTTGAAACAGGTGAGAATCAGAAAGCTAAAGAAACTTTCCCAAGATCACAGTTGGAGATGACAGACAGGGATGGGTTGATGATTTTGTTGAACACCTACTATGTGCCAGGCACATAACCTAAGACTCATATTAAATAACTTGCTCAAAGATGTTCAGTTAGTAGGTGTTGACTCCCAAATTCAAATGTGAATTTATCATTCTTTTTCTGTTGCACCCCCTCCCCTTCCCCGCACGGCCCCCCCCCCCAACCCTGCACCCGAAAAGGTTAGAATCCAGTCACAGCTATAACTGGTGGACCATCCTGGGTTTAAGCAGTTGCTACCTTAGTGTCTCCATCTCTGAGATAAAGGTAATAAATGCCCTGCCTCTCTCCTCACCTTCCCATAAAGGCATTACATCCTCCCCCAACACCCCTCAGTTCCCTTTGGGATTGCTATTAAGAGGCTGCATGTGAGGGTAAGAGTACAGGGTCTAGAGTTAGATTTTCAGGTTTCCAGTCACGGCTCTGCCAGTCACTGATGGGAGACTAGGCAAACTGCTTAACCTTTCTGTGCCTCCATGTCCTTGTCTCTAGGAAGAGAACAACTTATTTCATAAGGTGGTTGTGAGAACCAAATAAATTAATTCTTAGTTTGAGTTCCTACGAACTAGACTCTGAGGCAGAGGCTTGCGTGCAGGGGGTTTACTGGGGAGAGCGTTCAGAATTGAGAGCAAGTAAAGGAAGCAGGTTTGGACAGAGGGAGGAGTTGAAGGCCATGCCATTTCAAGAGAGACCCCAGCGGCTTCCAGGGAATGGCCTGAAGCTCAGCTGGCCCTTTGGAACTGTCTACTGAAGCAAGAGGACAGGCCCTGGTGACCCCATAAAGACCATCATTCCATACAGCTGCCCAAGGAGACAGCTTAATCATAAGGCAGCTCCCTTTGTCAAGAGCATTCCTGGGAGAGACTAACACCCTGGGGAATGATGACCACAGTCCCCAAGACTGGGTGGCACAGCACAGCATCCATGACAGCATAAAAGGTGCTTATATAACAGTGCTCAATACGTAGTCAGCACTCAACAAATGTTACAATAGCTTTCAGTTTTACTTAATAAGGATACTGGGATTGCTAGGAATAAGGAAAAACAGTGGGCTTTTGTGCCTCTTGGAATATAGTATAGGATTTTATTTCATAAGGGACATCTAAGAGTTGCTATTCCCCAGCAAGGCCTGCTCTATGTTCCTGGAAGCCAAGGGTAAGAAAAGAGAAGCAAGGGAAAAACAGGTTCCCCACCTAAGAGGGCTCAGTGAGAAGGCTGAGAAAAAGCAGTAAGGGAAGGAAAGGGAAAAAACCACAATGGGGTAAGGTGAGACCTGTGAGGTCGTGGTTGAGGCCACTGGAGCAAGAGAGGCCAAAATCACAAGACACTGAGGGGCCATTTGTCAACACAGAGTTGCTGTTGAACCAGGACCTGTAGAAGCTGACCCAGTTAGTCAAAACTTCAGCACTCTGCAGAGGGCTTTTTTGTTGCTTTCAGATGTAGGATCTTGCTATGTTGCCCAGTCTGGTCTCAAATCCCTGGTTCCTGGGCTCAAGAGATCCTCCCGCCTCAGCCTCTCAAATAGCTGGGACTACAGGCACATACCACTTGACACAGTTGTTACCCTTCCCAAACCTCTTGGTTAATTAGTGGAGAACAGAGGCAGGCACAGCAGCAGCTCCTTCCCGTGTGGCAAACACACCTGGTAGCAATAACTGAAGTATACTCTGAGAATGGCGCTGTGTGGTGACACACCTGATGTGTGCTCCAAGCTCAGGAACCCAGAGTAGCCAACCTGGAGAGTCATTCCTTGTCGATGAGGAACACCTGAGCCCCTGACTCGACCCATGGAACATGAGCCATACAGGGAATGGAGGCCCTGAGTCTGGGTTGAATGAAGGTTGCCAGGTGGAAGCTGTTAAGGAAGGGTGCTAAAGGGAAATGCTATATAAACTGCATGCCTTTTGCAAACAGTTGTGGTTCCCCTGCCCAGCCTGCTGCTTCTGGGATCTGAGGTTCTCCTGTCCAGTCTGCTGACGGTGAACTCTCTCCTCTGTATGTCAGCCCCCAGTAAAACCTCATGTCTTGTTTGGCGGCTCTGGGTCTCTTCTTTGGCCTCTTGAACATGGTGCCATCCCCACTGGAGTCAATAGGGGTTTGGGACAACAGTCCTGTTGCAGCACTATCTCAGTTGCCAGCATCCCACCCTCGCCCCGTCTTGCCAACCTAGGCTCTCGTTCTTCCTATCTCACAAGTGCAGGGCTGGGATGGTTTGGGGCAGGGATTGCTGATGAACAAGGGTTGGGAGCAGAGCCACGGAGTGCAGACAATGGAAGGATGCCTTTTGAACATCTGTGTTTCTCTGGCAGCTTCATTCATTCCAGCCCCATCAGCGGGGCAGTGTGCCAGAAAAGTTGGTCACCAGGTGAAGGTCGTTTGACCTGCTGCAGCTCAGGCCTCAAGGCCTGCTTTTACCATGCAGCTGGGAGGTAGGTGTTGTCTGTGAGACAGTTTTCTCCATTTGACAGATGTGAACTGATGGGTGGATCAAACCCAGTTTCATCCTCAGTAGCACCACGTTTGGATCACCCTGGGCATGGTCACGTGACAACAATAAAATAATTATTTGGAGATCTCAAACCTTCCCATCCTTTCTGCATTTCTGCAAATAGCCAGAGGGAGTTTTTAATTTTCGTTTTGCCTACACACAACAAAACTTAAAGTATCTGAGGCACTCTTAGTCAAATGTGCTGGAACTGGAAATAGCTGGAATTGGACCCTGTCTCCCAATTTCTGAGCTAGTATTTTCCCCTGCTCTGGTAAAGAAAGCAAAATAAATGAGGCTGGGAACAGTGCCCCGTGCCTATAATCCCAGCACTTTGAGAGGCTGACGCAGGGAGATCACCTGAGGTCAGGAGTTCGAAACGGCCTGGCCAATATGGCTAAAGCCCGTCTCTACTAAAAATACAAAAAATAGCAGGGCATGGTGGTGGGGGCCTGGAATCCCAGCTACTTGGGAGGAGAATTGCTTGAACCCAGAGGCAGGGGTTGCAGTGAGCCAAGATCACGCCATTGCAAAAGAAACAAAGGAATTGATGCACAGTGCACAGACCAGCAAATCTGAGAGCACAAAGCTCCCTACTGCAGATGAACGTCCCTCTCCGAGTTCAACCTGCCTCTTCGTTGCCATGGTAACCTCTTCAGTTTCCAGGCAGAAACTTTTTGAAGTTCACAGTTTATCCCAAATTCTCTTCCCAGCAGGTCGGTTCATATCTGCAGTTTTGGTAATGCAGGATGACTTGACAGTTGCTGTAAATCCAGCGAGTTGAGCTGGCTTGTGAATTTCACTGGCTTTGACAAAACCTGACCTCATTTTTGCCCAGCACTCCCAGAGCAGCTGTGATCTCTTTAATGGATGGCGGCATGGGGGCGTGGCTCTGCACCCTGGGTCGTCTGGGGTCAGCAATCTGGGCAAAGCTGTGGTCAAGATTAAATCTCCCATAGCATCCCAGCCATATTGCCTTTCATCTTCTTCAGCCCCCACCCCCAGCACCACCCTTTCCATGGAGGCAGAAGTCTAGGTGGGGATCTTTGTCTACTGAAAATAATAAGGGGAAATGAGAACACTTCCTCCATTTTTCTGATTCAGTTCAGATGATCCCCACAGTGGTTTCGATCCTCCAAATTCAATCATCAATCTACAAATAACATTTCTTAAGAATTTACTATATTCTCAAGTTGATGGGAAGACAATAGCTTTTTCGACATCAAGGACCTTATATACTGACATGTATGAATTCAAGGACCTTATATACTGGCTAAGGAAACAGAACTGCATTGTGGGGAGCAGGGAAAGTGAAAGGAAACTGTTGTTTGTCACAGAAACAGATGCCAAGGGAAGAGGCCGATCAGAGAGGGTTGACAGTATTGAAAAAAAGTGATGGATTTGTGGTAGCTAGTGAGAAGCAGGAGAGGTAGGAGGAAGAAAGAAGCTAAAGAAACAGGAAAAGCTGCTGTCATTTGGAGGTACAGCAAAGGTGCAGAAAAACTAAACCTTTTATTAAATGCTGCAGAAGCATTTAGGGTTGTGGGACACAACTGGATGCCACTTTTAGATTTAAGAGTATATCCTGAGGCCGCTGAATGAGGAAGCAGTGATCATCTCCAGCAGAAGTGAAATAGACAATCACTGGGGACATTTCCCTGCTGGTTCATGACAAACACTCTGGGCACCCTCTCCTCCTGGGCAGGAGAAGTTGACCAAGTTCAGCCTGGATGTAGGAAGTGACTTTTTCCTGATTAGTGTCTAGGGTATTGGTGCAGCTTGCCTTGCTGCTGTATTGGTCCTCTCTGGCTTCTTCTTTTCCCTCCCTCCGCACTCCCCACAAACCTAGACTTGGAGGACGATGTCTAGACTCCTCTGTAAGGCATGTAAGGTTCTAACCACTTGTTCTCACATCCTTTATACGCCCTAAATTCCAGCC